TCTCAGATTCTCCAGCATCTGCAGTTCCTACTATCTCTGAAACAGGTTTAGAGGGATATGGGCCAAATGTGGGCAAATGGGTCTAGGTCAGATTGGGATGTCTGTATGGTGTGGACAAGTTGGACTGAAAGTCTGTTTCCCTGTTGTGTGACTCCATGACTCAATGGCACATGATTTGTAAATTTTCAATCTATTGTTGGAATTACTTATGAAACTGAACATTATTCAGATTCTCAAGGCAAAATTTCAGAAGTACAAGATTGTGTTCAAGGATTGAAAGTGGATTGACATTTTCCAGTGATGATGATCGACTCCTCAATATCTTTGTGCAATTTGCAAATGTGATAATTGATAAATTTTATCAGCTAAATTAGTGAAATCTACTGCAGATTGTCAATGTTATACTTAGCATTATTGCTGTCATAAAGTTTGACAGCTGATGTTTCTCTGGTATCTAATTGTTTGCTATGCATTTAAGATTTCATCTAACACCACTGGTCTTATAACTAAACAAGTCAAACCAGGTATTACATTGCTTGATTCAAACAGAGTTAGACTCCACATTAAAAAGAACTTGCATTTAATTCCAGCCTTAACTGATATCTGAACTCGTATGTTTACAAGACTATTCTCTATACATTGGAAGAATGACTCTTCTGTTAGAATCCCTTTGAATACCATACAAGTAATTGCAGAACCGCACTGTGATGTCCTTCATCAACCTATTTGGTACCTAGAGCTGAAGATAGTGGCAGGGAAGAGAAAAAGACAATTATGCATTGGGGGAAATAAAACAGTATAAAATAGTTTAAAGAAAATGCTTTGGCTTTTTTGATTCAATTGTGAGTGTGACTGTGTCGCCTTATGCTTTATCTCTTTTTCTTTTAATAGGATTCTGACAACAACAAAGTCTGTTCCCTATACTCCTTCCGAAATGCAACTACCTCACCACACAAGCCAGATGAAGGGGCCCGTGAACGCGGTGATATGATGACTGGTGCAGTCTTTGGAACACCTGAGCGCCGCAAAGGAAGCTTAGCCGACGTGGTGGACACACTGAAACAGAAAAAGCTCGAAGAAATGACAAAGACTGAACAAGACGGTATGCATGGGCTACATTTACTTTTGAGTTCCACACATGGTTGACAGAAACTTGTTGGGGAGGTGGCCAAAACAGGTTTGTGAAATTGGTAGATTAAAACAGTTGTGTGATGTTCACCCTGACCGAATCACTTTTAGATCCATTTGAGAGTTTATTTAATACCTCTTTCTTTGGTATTGTAACATTGTGCAATGAAATGACTATCCAAAGCCAAAATACTTCAACATCCTTCTCATCATCTACCTAAGTTATAAAGCATACAACTTTCACTTTATTTTAAGAGATGGTACAAGGATAATAAGAACCATCTTATCTGTGGTTTGCATTAATGTGGCAAGAAGGAAGATGTTACACCACATTATTATTCATCTTTCAGTCTGTCTAGAGAAGGGTTTCAGTCATTACACAATTCACACTCATGGAGTAGCTGAATTAAACTATGAAAAGTTAAACCCCATGCAGCATAGAGATATAATAGTTTCTTGATTTACATATACTTTGAGATGTTGGTTTTAAAATAGTATGTCTGAAATAAGGCAGTTCAAAAATGCTAAGTCACTGTTGAAGGGAAGAAAAGCTGAGATGGGTATACACATATCTACCAATATTGTAGTTAATATTTGACCTTTCCAATTTCCCCATGATCAATTCCTTGTTGAATTTTTGCTTTAGCTTTCTCGGATATTAGAAATTGTATTTAATTGAATGTCTAGATTAAAAAAAATGTCCTACATAGTGGCTGACAACAAGAATATTTTAAAGTAACAATACGGCACATAGTTCATATGTGAGTGTCTTATGTTTAAAAGAACTGTGACCATCTGGTGTCATAAAAACAATTACTATATTAAATTAAAACATCAATGCATCCATTTTCTACTCAGACATGTAACTTGCAAAATATTTGTGTGTATGTAAATGTTACAATCACTTCGGAGCAAATGAGACACAGACTATATCGTAAAGATTTTTTCAAAAGTTTTAAATTGATTTAATGCCAATTGGAGCAGACACAGGCGAGCTTTCCATCTTGCCAAGTGTCAGCTGCAAGTGCCCCCACATCAAATACAGCGTGACTGTCCCTCTGCACAGCCAACAATCCACTTCATCCTCCATCAGACAAGAATTTTCTACAATGCTGATGTGACACAATGCACTACATAGCTTTAGGATCTCTTTTGACCAGAATATGTGGATTTGTAACACCAGGAACAGGACTGAAGTTCGGATTTAGTTCAACTTGGATACTTGGAACTGATAGGTAACTTATTTCACCTGGCCTTTGGATAAATAAGCAATGTCAAGTCCCTGTACATTAATCAGTGACAGGCCTGTAAGTCAGAATTCTAGACCAGCAGAACTGAGCGATATCACACGTTACTTTCAAGGCTATCAACTAACAATAACATAACCTGACAATCAATGATTGTAAGATATAAAGCTCAAATAACTTTCCAACAGAAATATGCAAGTTTGCTAGTTCAGTCATTGCAAAATACCACTTCAGGACTTTCAAGCTAATTTGTAATGAAGAAGTGATTTTGGCAGAACTGAAGAATGCATTTGTTACCACACAGTACAAATCTGAGACTTCTGAATCTGAAAACCAGTGTGCATGCTTGTTCCTGCCTCTTTTTGAAAGGTTCTTGCCAGCAATAATCTCAGATAATGCTCTTCAAGGAATCCAGTGCAAATTTTATTTTAAAAAAAAGCCTAGAGATGGTTTTCATTGTAGAGAAATGTATAAAGAAAAGGGCAGGTCTGTCTTGGTTTTCGTCAACCTGATACAAGCCTTTGGTATCGTTAGCAGATTAAGATTGAAAATCTTTAAAACCAAGTTTGGCTGACATGTTTATCAATGTGATTTAGTAGGTGTGTAATGCGATAACTGATTATCATCATCAGTGGAGTCCAGCAAAGTTATGTGTTTCTCCTCAACTTTTCTGCTTATGCTGAAGGAAGTCAAGTCAATTCCCAAGAGGAACTTGTTGGTGCAAATAGAAAACTGTTCAACTTAAGCAGATCAAATAAAGACCGAAATTAAAGAGTCAATTTTTAAGACAGTTATTTGCAGATGACCGTGGTCCAGATTTAGATTGCTGTTCCTTTAATACATTTAAAGTTTCTGTTTTTTTATGTAGGCAACATTGTATCAAATTTTGTTAATAGTACAAAAATACAGGACACATTAACTATGGGACAACTGAAAGCTCCTTCTGAAGAATGTGGTTATAACGCACTCAGAGATAGTAAGAACTGCCAATGCTGTAAAACATTTGTTCAAAACATAGTAAAACAAAGACCCAGGTTTCCGATTTGTAAATCTCTTAAAGTGGGAAGAGAACATCAACAAATTACACTTATATGAAACCTTCAACACGTATACCATTCTAAAGCACTTCACAAAAGTGATCACAAATTTGTTATTAAGCCATATAATGAGATGGTAGAACAAATGTTGAAAAGTTTGAGAAAGAGCTATATTTTAAGGAGTACCTTATGGAGATAGAGGTAGGGAGCTGAAGTGTAGGGAAGAAACTTAAGAGCTTAGGAACCAGACAGCTAAAGTCAGTCATCCAAGGTGGAAAGATAACAGTTGGAAACACTAAAGAAGCCAGTGGAGGAGTATTAAGGTTTCAGAGGCTTGATTAGTTGGAAGTCATTATTAAGAGAGGCACGAGGCCAAGAGGGATGGGAATTTTAAAGCTGAAGTGATACCAGCTCATTGGCTAATGCAGGACAATGAGAACAGGAATATTAGGGAAACCACATTTGTTGCTATGATATGGGCAACAAAATTTTGGATGAGATAACACAGTGTGGAGCTGGAGGAGCACAGCAGGTCAGGCAGCATCAGAGGAGCAGGAAAGTTGAAGTTTCGGGTTGGGACCCTTCTTAGAAATGGGGCTGAGCAGTTTCAGAGCCAAAGAGATTACCAGAGGGTTGCAGTGGTAGAGAGATCCACTGAGGTCTTTCCAGACGGAGGAGGATAACTTATTCAAGGTGGCCATTCCTGGCAGAGGCTTTGCAGTGGGGTTATAACTCAATCAGAGATAGTAAGAACTGCTGATACTAGAGTCAGAGATAACACAGTGTGGAGCTGGAGGAACACAGCAGGCCAGGAGCAGGAAAGTTGACGTTTCGGGTCGGGACCCTTGCGTGGAAGATGGGAATCTGACTGGGGACAGCAAGTTGATAAAATTTAAGTAACAAATATGATACTGTAGAGTTTATAACAGGACGATAAAAGAAAAATATACTAAGTCAATGCAAATATTGGTAAGGCTGCTGTAAAATATGCAAAATATTGTCTTCAACATTGTACTTTGGATAGGACTTCAAGGCTGTGGAGCGGGTGAGTTCAGGAACTTTGCTACGTTTATAACAGAGACAAGATCCTTGAAGTATGAGGAAGGACCAGAAACTGACTTTTTTTCACTAAAGGGAGAAGATTTGATAGAAATGTTGAAAAGTATGGGGATAAAAATAAATGAGGAAAAGCTGTTTGCACTGGTAGTTGAATCAGTCTATTGAGGTTTTACAACTAATTCCATCCCCAAAAGAGCAAATGACAATATTAGAATGATTGTGCCTTCTACAAGATGTAAGACGTGAAATGCTGTATATAATATTGTACTGAAAGCAAAGTCTATAATAACTTTTAAATGGGTCTTAGATGAAAATAGTGGACAGTGAAGAAGGTTTCTCAGAGTACAATGGGACCTTGATACAATGGGCCGAGGAGTGACAGATGGTGTTTAACTTAGATAAATGTGAGGTGTTGCGTTTTGGTAAGGCAAATCAGGGCAGGACTTATACACTTAATGGTAAGATCCTGATGAGTGTGCTGAACAAAGAGGTTACAGGTTCATAGTTCCTTGAAAGTGGAGTCGCAGGTAGACAGGATAGTGAAGAAGGCGTTTGTTTATTGACCTTTATTGGCCAGTGCATTGAGTATAGGAGTTGGGATGTCACAGCTGTACAGGACATTAGTTAGGCCACTTTTGGAATTTTGCATTCAGTTCTGGTCTCCTTGCTATAGGAAAAGTGGAATTAAACTTGAAAGTGTTCAGAAAAGATTTACAAGGATGATGGTGGGATTGGAGGGTTTGGCTATAGGGAGAGGCTAAATAGGCTGGAGCATAGGAGGCTGAGGGGTGACCTTATAGACGCTTATAAAATTATGAGGGGCATGGCTAGGGTGAATAGCCAAGGTCTTTTTCCCAGGATAGGGGAGTCCAAAAATAGAGAACATAGTTTTAAGGTGAGAGGTGAAGAAGGATCTAAGGGGCAATATTTTTACATAGAGGGTGGTGCATGTATGAAATGAGCTGCCAGAGGAAGTAGTGGAGGCAGATAAAATTACAATGTTTAAAAGGCATCTGGATGGGTACATAAATGGGGATGGTTATGGGCCAAATGCTGGCAAATAAGACTACATTAATTTGGGATATCTGGTCAGCAGGGACAAGTTGGACTGAGGGGTCTGTTTTTGTGCTGTACAACTCTGACTCTATGACTCGCTAACTCTATGAAGTGGCCTCTTTCTGTACTGTACATGTTTTGGACTTCCAACCCAAAACAAACCATTTTGCACTTGCAGCCAAGAATTGCAATATCCATCAGTTTGATGAAGATTGAGGCTATATTGCAGTCAGAACTTAAGGCAGAGGAAAAACGGCTGAGCTTCATCCAACAGTTTACTTCCCTGGGCAGAATACCATCACCAGATACACATCTGGATAAAGAAATGTTTCATTAAGCAAGAAAGATCTGCACTTACAATGTTTATCTGAAGATAATAGTATATGGGATGAACAGGATCTGAAAATCAAGATTAAAATAATTGAAGTAATGGCACCTTTTAGTTATCAAATAGCGACTTTTTTTTAGATGCTCCATCGAAGACTTCAACCTCTACTATGCTAAGTAAGCTGACACAGCAACAGTGTTACCTAGGGCCAATGTCATACTGTCAAGGGTCAGCTGAGATTATTTGA